ACCATAACTCAAAGACAATTTAAAAATTAATTTTGACAGTTTTGGAAGGAGAATGAATTTTTTAATTAATTATCCTGGAATTCAATATGGATAAATAAAACGAAATTATGAGGGTCCAATTTATAAATTCAAATACGTCTACTAGGAATAATTGCATCTTTTATCACAAAAAAAAAAATATTTTGACTATTAGATCACAGAATTTCGATCTTTTGTCACAAAAATTCATTTTAACTATTAGACCACACAATTTTCGAATTGAGATATGATTTAGTGGTTTAGATCGTACCTCATTTAATGGGCATGACTCTTTTTTATGCACTCATTGCACTTGGAGGAGTCCCACCCAATCATTTCATTTATTAGAGACTTAAATCAATTCAAACATTAATCATTAAATAATCTGTAAATTTCAAAATTCTTCACATAATGAGACGCGATATGTTGCTTTAGCTTGGAACCTATCTTTAGCAAAAGTCTATCAAACTCACTTGACTAATCTATGGAAGCAACATTTTGAACGGTCAGTCATTAGTGTAAGTAATCTATACGATAGATTTAACATATTAGTTCTCATATCAAACTTGATTCCTTATTGTATTCAATATTTTGGTCGTGATAGACTCTACAAGTGCATTTGAGAAAATCGTCTAAAAATATTCTCATAGATTTGACCAAGTCCGCACTTATTTACATAATAAAAATGGTGAGAAGTTAAATTCATAAGTGCTTCCCATCGAGTAAGTTATAATTAATTTTCATATTGAACCTAATCCGTGAGATTTTCATTGGATAAGTTGGATTTTCATTAAGTTGACCCATAAAATTAGGCTTTAGACCCAGTTCTCTTGATGCGCAATCCTCTCTCTCTCTCGCTTGCTCTCCCTCCCTCTCTCGATAACCCTTTGTAAGTATATTCGCTAGGTTATCCTTTCGACTTAACAAAATTAATCAATACTATTAAAGTTGAGACCAATTGTCAAATGATATTATGCCTTGAATTATCGTTATACTCAAACTGTCTTGAATTATCGTTATACATAAGTTGAAAGCAATTGTCGAATGATGTTATTGTTCAAGTTGAGAGCAATTGTTTAAGTTGAGAGCAACTATCTTGAATCAGAATGTAGCCTTTGTTTGAACCTCATTTTTCTATAAAAAATATATATTTTTGAACGGTGATTTGATTCAATTTTAACTACATATTCTCTAATAAAATAATAATAATATCCACAAATCCAATTTTTTAACTACATATTCTCCATTATAATATTATTACAAAATACATTTTTTGAAAAAAAAAAAAGGGG